TCGCCATGAAACACGATGTCGCTGTAACTCCAATGGACACGGTCCAATCGTCCCCGAATCTTCACTTGTATATCACCGGTCCATGCCTCAACAGCTCTACGCCAAATCTGAGATCTCACCATGTGCCGTTTCCATGGAAACGCATCCCTCGCCTTAAAACACGATGTTGTCGTGATACCTATGCAAATGGTCTAAAACAGCACCAGACTTCAGATAATGGTTAATGGTCCGGCCCTCAACAGCTCTATGTCAATTATGGGGTGTCATCATATGCCGTTTCCATGGAAACGCATCCCTCGCCTTAAAACACGATGTTGTCATGATACCTATGCAAATAGTCCAAACACCACCAGACTTCAGATGACAGTTAATGGTCCAGTCCTTAACATGTCTATGTGCCATTAGTGAGTTTTCCTCAAAAGCTGTTGCCATGGCAACGCATCCCTTGCAATAAAACACAATATTGCTATAACTCCTATGAAAATTGTCAAGAAGTGCTAAAACTTCACATGTGTGCCAACAGTCCAGCCGTGAAGACATCTACGGAACAGTTTTGAGATTTCTTCAAAAGCCGTTGCCATGGCAACACAATGCTCGCCTTGAAACACGGTTTTCTCATAACTTCAGTGAAAATACGCCAAACAGCCCAAAACTTCACAGGTTTGGTAACGATGCAGCCATCAACGCATCTAAGCGTATTATGGGGTGTCATCAAATGCCGTTGCCATGGCGACAGACCACTCGCCATGAAACACGATGTCGCTGTAAGTCCAATGGACACGGTCCGATCGTCCCCCAAACTTTGCTTGTATATCACCGGTCCAGCCCTCAACAGCTCTACGTCAATTATGGGGTTACATCATATGCCGTTTCCATGGAAACGCATCCCTCGCCATAAAACATGATGTCGCTATAACTCCTATGAAAATGTTCAAAAAGTGCTCAAACTTCACATGTGTGCCAACAGTCCAGCCGTGAAGACATCTATGGGACAGTTTTGAGATTTCTTCAAATGCTGTTGCCATGGCAACACAATGCTCGCCATGAAACACGGTTTTCTCATAACTTCAGGGAAAATGCTCCAAACGGCCCAAAACTTCACAGGTTTGGTAACGATGCAGCCGTCAACGCATCTAAGCGTATTATGGGATGTCATCAAATGCCGTTGGCATGGCGACAGATCATTCGCCATCAAGTTAGTTCAAAAGTTTGCAGTTCAAATATTCTGCTGCTTTTCCAAGCCTTTTTACTTTCTTTTCTTCTCTCATCACACATTCAAGCCCCCAGTGTTCATGTATCATTTCAATCTAAATTCTTCACGTTCTTCTTACACATTACATTTCAGCATAGCAGTTTAGCGTCAGCTTTTCAGCATAAAGCATTCCCACTAGCAATTTCTTCAGGAATTGCATTCTCTAGTTTCATCTAGACTCCTAAATCATATTTTATCATCATACTGCCACTGGTATGATGTATATATGCATGTAATGCATTTTTAATAAGCCAGTGTGAAGCACATATGGCACTAGGATGTGATATCCAAATGTTACTGCCTCTGAGCAAGAGAGAGAAATTCCATATCTTGCTGCATTTGAGGCATCCATTGGTTATTTATTTATTCATAGAACTGAGTCCAAAGCGTGATTCATTGGGGCTGTCTTTTTCGCTTGCCAGAAGATTAGGAGGGACAATCTGGCCCCTGTGACGCGGCATTATTCCCGACAGTGAAATACTAGAGACAGCTGTGTCACTCCATTGTGAAGCAAACACTAAGGCTGAGCCGCGGGGCCGTACAGCCTGAGTGTGGTTATTACTGTCACACATCCATTTAGCACCGAAGGGCTCCACAGGTGGCATACCAGACAAAATAAAACAAAAGAAACAAACAACTAGGGGATGTGACATATTGCTATTGTCATTCAAATTAACTTTGGCGAGAAAGCTGTTGCAATGTTGGAAAGTGCTTCGTGGAACTGCTATGAAACGTGACTAACTTCAGGATGTGCAGCAAAAGGTTAACCTGTTCTGTATAAACTCATGATCCAACAATCACTGTATTAATGCTTTCAGACCCTCTCAGTAGCCTACTCTTAAGTTTATTTGTGCACTGTTAATCCACACCTCAGAGAAAAAGCACTTATTCCTCACTAATAGGATGCAGTACATGATAAGTACATATTGTATGACTTAAGATTGAAATGCAAGTCATGGTGGTAACGTCTTAGTCAAAATGAGTTATATTCCAAGTACTCAGGTGCGTGCCTGAGTAATCAACTGTACAGTGGCTACACTAATCTGATTTATGTTAGCAATGGATTGAATGACTGTATTATGTTTGGCAGAAGTTGCTCACAGGCAACAACACCGGACTCTCCAGTTCCTCTCAGTTTTTGGAGCGTTGAGCATCTTGCATTTTAGTTTTCATGTTCTGCATCTTAAATGTTTCTCTCAGTTCAAATCTCACTCCTCTCATCAACCTTACTTATAACTGCATAAGAGCTGTTTTCAGTGCCAAGCAGACTGCTCAGCAGAAAACAGCAGGAGGACACAGTTAGCAGGTCGTTGGTGAACATAGTGGAGCATTTAGCAGCTAAAGAGCCAGATATTTCCCCCGGGAGTTGGCAGAGACCAAAACATATGGACATAGCAGCAGAAAATATTGTTAACATTTTGGACGGAGAAATAACACAATCTTTCTTTTACAAATATACTTTTGAATTCACAAGTAATATTCATAGGACAGTTTGCAATCTTAAAGAGTCTTCTCTAATTATGCACCTGTTACACTGCATGGTAGCTTATCACAGATAAACTAATATCTTTGTAAACAGATGCTTGACAAATGCGTTTATCAAAATGTAGGATGATGCTTAAAGGACGTATAGCTATGTTAATGTATCGAGGTCAAATGCAAGTTAAAGTTGTCAAATTTCACATCCAAGCTGTTTCAGGAGTCATTGCTTTTTGACTGTGATATTAAAGTACAAGCTGTACATCTTATCACTCAGACTTCACCTGTTCCGAAATGTCTTAAGGCCCCAGAGACGTTCCTTCATCAATTCAGAACACACCAACATGCCATTTCCTCGGATCTTTAATCTCTCCTAGTCTCCTCCTGCCTGCCACCCAGGTGCTGCCAAACCATCACTCAGAAGCTCAAATCATTGGCCCTGTCAGTTACCAAGTTCCAGAAGAAGCCTTTCTCGAGCAGACAAATGTGGGGCCATCAGCACTGCCCGGATGTAAATTGTTTTTTATAAACATTTACCAAACGACACAGTTGTCGCTGCAGCAAACCTGCTTACCTGCCGCCCGATATCTTACATCCAGATCCAATCTGACAGCCGCAACATTTAAAGTCTCAGGAGAGATTTTTACAACTTCCTCTTAGAGTATTCCAGAGCTGCGAGAAGGAAGCTACACAGGGAAAATAGACACTATAAATACATTTACACACCTTAAAAAAACATTGGCATTCTGCACGCCGCCAAGCTAAATTCTCATTAAGAAGGATAAAAAAACTGTGTTCATACTTTTGTGGTTATACTTTTCTGAGAAGAAGGAAACTGCTGTTTGGTTCAGTTGATACATGAAGTAACTGGAAATATAAGCAGTGCACACATCTGTTTCCAGACATGATCAGTTTTGTAGGCTCCTGCTGCTATACAGCAGTGCTTTGAGGGAACTACAGCAGTGCACTGCGTAGGTTTTCTTCACCATAATGATGGATCACGGTTCCCTTAATTGGGTAACATGATTTCAATTTCTGCACAATGATCCTAACTGTCATCATATGCAGAGTAATGTGAAGAAGGGATTTCATCTGACTAACACACTGCAGCCTGAATTGAACAGAAGCACCAGCATCAACTAAATAATGTATATGTAGTGACAGTGATTCTTTAGAATTTGAACTTGACAATAGCCTCATAATCTACAAGAAAGAACATCGTAATGAATTTTTCATTCTTCTGCTGCACTCTAACAAATCCTGAATACATTTAAATACAGTTACCAAGATTAATGCATGAATGGATGATTTGAAGCTGGTGTAATGGTGGCCTGCTATTCTCCAATAGCATCAGAATAATGGGCACTGAATTGTCTTGAGTTAGACATCCATCTGCTGTCTTCATCATCACTTGAAGTCAACCCATAGGGCCAGAAGCATATGGATCTCTCTATCTCTCTCTCTTCTTGTGTGTGTGTGTGTGTGTGTGTGTGTGTGTGTGTGTGTGTATATTATGTATATGTGTGTATGTTAACCTCGACACAAATGTTCCTTACATTTAATCAACAAGAACATTTGCATTTAGAGCACTCTTAATCCCCAGCTGTTAACCTCAGACTCATACTATCCATCAGATTGACAAATGTGTTAAAGATTGGTTCAGCTCCAAAGCAGAGACAGCAGCTGCTATAGGAATCCATTCACTGGACAGAAACAGCCCTCAGAGCCTAATTATGACTCTCATTAACGTATTGCACCTTTTACTTCAACAGTGAATTACAGGCTGATTGTAGAAACACCAACAACAAGCAATCAATCAATCAATCAATCAATCAATCATGCACGATCTCTTGAGACAGGAAAAATGCCAAAATCCAGCAGATCAATTCCATAGAAGAAGCAAATAATGAGGCAGTGTGGGATCCCAAAGGTGGGGTCCAGATAAATTTGAGTTATTCACAATGCTGAGCTCAGAGTGTATTGATTTTGGGCTTCATTCAAACAAGAACAGGATGATTTAGGCAATTTAGCTGAAGGCATGATTGCTCATTAATGGCAGCAACACACCTGAGCATGCAACATGCTGGTGGTCAGAATATTGATAGGGGCTATACTTAGTTTGATCTCTATCAGGAGCCGTTAAGCCTCTAGTCTTGTCTGGCCAGTATTTGATGTGTGCACGAGATGCAAAGTGTAACCCCTAGCGTTCGCGTGCACCGACTGCATGGAAAGGAGGCAAAAAGGAAGGAGATGGTTAGAATTAACTCACCCCCAGGATGACAGTGTCTTCTCCCTGAAATACTGGGATGAATTTATCTCCGCGGATAATTTCGGACTTGTTCAGAGGACGAAATCGACACAACACCTTGATATTGCATTCTGCATTAGCATCAGCCATTGTTGGGGAAAGATAGTGTACGCGCTTTCCAATAAATAAAAAGGGATGTCTCTATCCAACAAATTTAAAGACAAATAAAATCCCCTTTTTCGCGTGAACCACTTGGGCGCAGGCTGAAACCACCGGCTACATGCAAAGCGAGACCGGCAGGCGAAACATTTGGATGAATGGACACCCACTAGTTTTGGGAGATAGCTACTAGAGACAAATTCATTAAAGAAATCACAAGCAAAAACAACCCGTTCGGAGTGAGTTTCAAAAGCCCTCAAACCAAACTCGCGTAGGAGAACAGATGGAGAGTTGTAAATGTGAGTATATTCCAACCCGGTCCGGTCGGCAGTGTCTGGATAGGCTGCAGGCTGCTCGGGAGCATGCCTCTCCGTCATCACTGCTCTCTCAGTGGGGGCGGGGTTTGGAAAGTAGCGACTCAAATCTTCCCATCAGCACCACTGAGGAGGAGAGCTCCAACTCTGCTACTTATTTCCTCAGCCAATTTTTTTTTTAACTGGGATTGACATATAAATTAACTTTTAACCATTGAACACTGAGCATAACAAGCTGAAGGTGTTCCTTATTGCATCTTTTGATTGTTTTTTTTGTGGCCAGTAATTTTTAGGTCCAGAATTTAACAATTTTGTCCACGTCTTGTGGTAGTCATGGCAATGCTGTTTAGCATGGGCAGTCATGTAGGAACCAAACAAAGGCTCCGTCGTTTTTGTCAAGAAATGAGGGTTCTCCATTGATGTACTGCACATTCATCAGAGCTGAGAAAGTCAGATAAAAAAAGAACTGTGCTCAACACTAACATGTGTAATTATTTAACACTTATAGGAATTGAAATAGCTATAGGCTACAAGGGCTATGCACTACGAAACACAATTCGAAAAATGTATAGGCCTACTATTAAAACTGTTTTATAACATTTAACACATTTGTCTCAGGAAACAGAAGACTATGAGTGCTTATTATGTAGTTTAAATATAGTTTTTTTTCTATGTGTTTTAATTATTATTATTCAATAGCCTATAGTTTTTTTTCTATGTGTTTTAATTATTATTATTTTAAACATAAGAAAGTAACATACAACATTACCCATTCATACTTTATATCAATGCTTTTAGATAAGGTAGATAATTTTGTCCGACAGAGTGATCATCTTCACAATCGACCGTCTTTGGCCCATTGACTGAGTTGTTGGCTGTACCTTTAGCGCCACCATGTGACGACTTTGCTAAATTCTGACAAATATCTTTTGAAAAAAAGAATAGTGTTGTTGAAGGCAGTTCATTTTTGCAAAATGAATGCGCCCAACCAATTCTTTGTTTGATAAAAAAACAAAAATAAAACGATGGTAAGGACGTAGCCTAGAATTGCACAAACTGAGCACATGCGTACAAACGCTCAAATGTATTGGTAGGGCTTGTTTTGTTGGTTTCTGCACACCGGTGAACGCTTTCCTATTGGCATAGCGACTACCTCCCCGCCCGTCCGCCTCCGCCTGCAGGAAAACAAACGCACACGCTGTCATCTCAAACTAGTGACCACATCAGCTCGGAAACCTCCGCCGGCTGAGAGACTGCTGGCTCATCTATCGTTAGCTTTTGTTACAATTAGATTAGTTTAATCTATAATAGACAATAATTAAGTAGAATTATTACATTCTATAGTTGTTTGTTGACCTCGTCTTTGCATCCCGCTTACAATGGCTGATCCTAAATACGCAAACTTGCCAGGAATTGTAAGTGGCTACAGCTAGCAGACAGATTAGCTAGATTGCTACTTGGCAATGCTAGCTCTGAGCTGTGACAGCTGAGTTAGCAAACATCCGAGCTGTTTACTCTTTCATCTGCGTGTCATTTGTTAACTAGCGTTAGTTATCGTAGATCTTTAGTTGCTACAATTGTTAATGTGTTGTCTAATGATACAAGCCACCTAGCAAGGGCTAGCATATACGTGCTGTTGAATGGGCCGGGGCGTTGGCCAAGCTACTGACAATAAACGTAATATCTGATCGTTTGATATTGTTAACCTAATATTGTTTACCTGTTTTATTAGGCCTTTAATGAACCGGACGTGTACGAGACCGGTGACCTACCAGAAGATGACCAGGCTCAGTTTGAGTCGGTAAGTTGACGTTTCCGTTGCTAACCAAACTAGCTAACAAGTGTTGACACTTTATATAACGGAAAAATATGACTAATTTACTGCGATAGGTTTGCATTATCCCTGCTGTACTGTGATTAAACACCTGAACACGCAATTGCCTGGCTAACTATTACTAAATACATGAAAAGGCACTCATTGCAGCTTAACAGTACTTTAATAATTGTGAAATTCCAATTAAACTATATCCTTATGTTTGCATATTAAAAAAATAAAGCCAGATCCTAAACGTTTTAAGATCACATGTTTGATCAGCTTTTGGTTTTATTTTTATTTAATTAAAAACGTTCTAATATATAGGAAAAGCCTATGTTTCTAGAGAAATATGTTTATTTAGTTAATATTCTATCAAAAAAATGTCAATTACCCTGTTCAGTTTACTTATCTTCCATATATTATACATATAAGAATATCTGTCCTTGTATACATCAAGATGAGTGAGTAACAAAGGGAAGACTAGTATAAAATAGATGGAAAAACTAAAAAGAAATGCCATCCATGGGCCTACTGTGGGGGTTTATAACTATGTCATGACGATGGTCTTGTGACTCAATGAAAAGTCTATTCTCACTGCCATTAACTGTAACATAAGCAGAGTTAGGGAGGCGTTGCTAGGATCAAATATTTTTTAGCAGTGCTTTTCTAAAATACTATGCAAACAGTTAAGGGAGGGAGGCTGGCCTAACATTGTTGTTAAATGTCTGGACGGTTTACTGTCCAGCAGATTGATTCCTAATTGGCCTTTTCCCTTCCATGTTTCCCCATTCGTTCTTCCCTTACCCTTGCCCTTGTTTTGACTCTTCCCTACCCCTCCTCGGAGCCTAGCTTGTACAAGTAAGACTGGCTCCATTTTACTCTGTGAGCTTAATGCCATGCTTTGTATGCATGGGTGGCCCTTTTTTGTTTTGTAATTCATCACTTCTTGATTGTTTTGAAGTACAGGAAATTGAATCTTTTCCTCTTATTTGTGTTGTTTCAATTAAACAATTTAAAGGGAATAATTAGGTTGATGGGTCTTCAGCAGCACTATAATAAGAAAAGTGTTTCTCTATTTTGTTTTGGATATATTCTTTTTTTTAACCTGTCTTCATGTTTAACAGTCACTTCCTGCCTAACCACATTATTTGGACTAACTGGGTATTTTAAAGATCCTTATACACTATGTGATATCTTGAAGGTTCTTTGCATGTCATGCTTGGATATATTGAGGTTATAATGTTAATAATTAAGAATTTGTGCTGGACTGTACATTATCAAATTCAAGACATTTTTGGATAATGCCTATTACTTTACTTATATCGTCTTAACAAAGCCATATAGAGAATTTATTCCCACATTTTTGACACTCTCAGACCTTTGACACAGACTTTCCTTGTTCATCAATGTTCTAAGTCTGCCATCAGCTGATAAGACATGTCTCACCTTACAGCATTGACCTCCCTCTTGCATTGATGACCAAAGAAATAATTGCAATTTGTCTCGGACACCCCTAAAATCACACTGTGTAATTGTGACTTTAACTTGAATATACTTAATTAACAGCTTTGGCTTAGTCTAGCAAATTCCTTGAGCATGTTTTTTTTAGGAATTACTCACCCTGATGAATGATGTTTGATGATTAGAATTTGTGTAACAGAATGGGTTTTTTAGACCTGTTAAGTTTTGTGACTCCCTTTAATCACCCTACAACCTCCTGTTACCCTTCAGTTTGAATCATGGATTGTTTTTAAACTGCCAACCCCCCTGCATTGATAGCTTAATGTTGTGAGACCTACAATGCCCTCCACAAGGGCATATGATCCCACTACATATAAAAGTGAAGTGTGGCATCAAAGGAGACAGTGACTTGTTTGTGTAAATGGACCGTCTTACCACCCTGATTCGGGGAAGAGAAAGAACTTGAGAGAGCAGTCTGAGCAGAGTGTCTCCAGGGTTTTTAGCAGCAACTCTCAGAACACTGCTTTCTTTCTTATCTTTCCCCGAACCCTGGCCAACTGTTCCTGTGTGCATGGCATGTGATAACCACATTAATCTGTGTTGTCTCTCTCTCTCCCCCCTACTTTTTTCTCTCCCTCTGCTCTTCCGTTACTTTCTCTAATTCTCTTTGGAAACCCAAGGAGCTGGTAAGAGCCTGACTAACCCCCCTCCTCACTCTTCCTCCTCTTCCTAACATCCGTGAAACTGTCTTGTGTTGTGTGTGTGTGTGTGTGTTTTGTTGGTCTGCCTTTAAAAAAAAAATCCAAATCTGTGTGTGAGCCCAGACTCATGTCATCTACCTGTATGTGTCAGTGGTGTTTTAATCTTGCCCATAGCCTCTAGTTCATCATAATTGATCAATAGGAAGTTTTGATCAAATTATGCACGTTTGTTTTTTTCTTCCCCAGAATCACTAATCAAAATACGGTCATTTAGGTGTTAGTGGCTTCCTGCTTTTCTTTCACATAACATTGATTTAATAGTACATAGTAGACTTATACCATACTGTATAGCTGACACATTCTTATAAAAGCTAAACCTTTTCAAACATTAAAGTTCTTCAATCAGGCCTGGGTAAAGCTATAGCTGTGATATCATTTTCACATTTGTCTCTTGCCTGCTGGTACTTTAAATTATGTTGAAATAATCTGGTTCTAGACACAAATGTTGTCCGGAAGCTCTTGCAGATTTTCATGATTCATGGCTACAATGACTTTAATTCCTGAGGGTATATCACTTTTGTAAGCAATTATACAATTGTCTAAACCAAATAATTCATCATCTTTTTAATCATACTTTCGGGCAATGATCAAGTATTGAATTTCCTCTCAGATCTTACCAACCTGTCAACATATTTCAAGTCTACCTGGGGCTTTGAGACTTTTGGCTCAGTAAGCCAAGGCAATTTGTCAAGTCTTTTCTGTCTGTAAAGAATAACATTGAGTTTTAAGATTTTCATTATATTGATCTGATGTTCTTCCTGGTATCTCAATGACAGGAGGAGCTCTGCAGTGACAGTGTGGAGAGGATTGTGGTCAACCCCAACGCAGCCTATGACAAGTTCAAGGACAAGCATGTCAACGCCAAGGGGCTCGGTCAGTTCATAGTGGAAAATACATTACTGTTGTCAAAAGATTTTGAAGGGTACCATCATCTTTACTAATCATATCGATTGAGAGACTCAACAAATAAAAACATATTCGTAAACTATTGTGGTTTACAGAGGTGTTTCTCTAACTCTCCTGCCTTTTTTTATTTAGATGTGGTGGACAAAATAATATAAATACTTGTCTGTAGAATGCATTGAAGTTCAACAGCACCACAAATGGCAGTCACCTAAATCATCATAACATTGAATCAACATCTCTTAAAGCAATTTCAAAAAGACTTACTTGTTATTATGTTTTATAATCATTATGGAGGTATTGTGAAGCTCTGTTGTGTTACACTGCATTGCTTTTAGATAAGACATTGGTTTTTTTGTTTGTTTCTGGTTGACTTATGTGCCAGTCTTGTGACCAGTTCATTATTAATACTAACTTCACAATACAACTTTCTAGAAAAGCTTTTAAATACTCTTAATGGATAAATAAATATAAATGATGTCATGCTGTTCTGTTGGGGGTGCAAGAAAACAAGTCCATCCCATTTTTTCTTTGTCTCCTGTTGACAGACTTCTCAGACAGAATCAGTAGGAGCAGAAGAGTGGGCTATGAGTCAGGAGAATTTGAAATTGTGAGTACACTCTGTTCAGCACAAATTCATTACTTTGCTTTTTAATCTTTTAGAAGGTGTTTTCTGATGTTGTGTAATATTCATACCATTTCTCTGCAACCTTGTTAAGCTTGGAGAGGGCTGTGGAGTGAAGGAGACACCTCAGCAGAAGTACCAGCGTCTGGTCAACGAGATCCAGGAACTCACTCAGGAGGTGGACACCATTCAGGTGAACTGACAGCGACACACACACACACACACACACCCTGCCTAAAGGGCTTGGCAGGAGATGGTCCTCTCTGATTATCCAACCTTTATCTTGCTGTCTGCACACACATTTAATAACACAGAGACTTCCTTCATTCTGCTCCTTGACCATGTCAATATGTATTCATTCAGGGGAGTGCAGCCTCTCAGTTCAATTTCCAAGGTGGAATATGTATACCCCCGTTCTTACTGAGACGTTAGCTTTATATCATGTGTGCACCGAAGCCTTAAATTTGCCCTGGAAATTCGTTTTTTATTGCTAGTGCAATTGCTTTTCAGACTTTTTTGGAGTCCTTAACGGAGTAACTTATCCAACCTTGGGTGTCATAGACTTGAATAAGCACAGAGAAAAGTCCTCTGCTCCAAACACCAAATTCTAATTCAATCTGTGAATTCGTTTTTTCTGAGAGATTTCATTGGCTCTCATTGGAGTAATTGAAATAAATGACTTGCTCCACATAATGTGTTGCCATTCGTCAGGGTATTGAATGGAGAAAGTAAACTGTTATTTACTAAAAATAGACCAGATTAATTAATAAAATGACATTTGGTTGATGATATTGTGCTATGTTATCATGCAGAAAACACCTTAATCTGAAAAGTAAAAGAAGGAAGAAAACTGTGTTTTTTATTTAGTTTGGTTAACCATTGTAGCTGCCTAGAAAAGCCAATTCTTACCCAAAATATTGGAGCATGGAAGATCTTTTTGTATCGAGTCGTCTGTCTCAAATACAATAGCAGAACAAATCGAATTCATATGCCTTTTACAAAAGTGCATGTTTACATTAATACATTTCCTTTTTTTGTATTTGTCATGGAACACATTTTCTCTGTGAATAACATACCTGGTTGTTCCTGGACAGACTTCCAGCCATCGATTTCATCACCCTCTGCATTGTTTTAAAGAAAGCAACTGAAAATACTCATTAACTCAATGACCGTGGTGTGTGTCTGTTTAAAGGCTGCCACAAAGGATAGCAATGCGGAGGAGCGCCTGACCCCGGTGGTCCTCGCCCAGCAGGCAGCGCAGCTCAAACAGCAGCTGGTTTCTGCCCACCTGGACTCACTGCTGGGACCACAGGCACACATCAACCTGGCTGACCCTGATGGAGCGCTGGCCAGGTGAGCTGAGAGGGCAAGAGAAGACAAAAAAGCTATAGGCACAAGCATCTGGAGTCAGAATCCTGAGACCCTGACAGAGAGATAAGGTAGTAGACAGGGAATGGTAGAACGAGCAGAGAGGGAAAAATGAAGCCTGAGAGTCAACAAAAGATGGTTGGAGGGAAGAGAAGGGGGAATTGATTTTAATGAGCCTTGTGTAACCCAGATTAAAGGGAGTCGTAGAGTAACTAGGGCAAGGCAGTACAGCTGCTATCAATTGCTCACATAAACCCCCTTATCTTGGTGTAGCACTACCCAGGGAGCACAAGAACCAATCACAGGTGATCGAGGAAGGGAAATAAAAACAGGTGAGAGATTAGCAGAGAGAGATTGAAAAGATACTGTCGGTACACAACTGAAGGTAGAGATAGAAAGAGACAGTGAGAGAAGGGCAATAAAAAGTGATGAAAAGGATGCTCACCTCGACCTTGCCATTGATAACAAAGCTTGAAAAGAGTTGTAACAAAAGAGAGGCAGTGGGCACAGCAGCACATGGAGCCGATAACAGTATTCAACACCTTTTTGTGTCTCCTTTTCCTCCCTTCCCCCAGGCGTCTGCTCACCCAGCTGGAAGTGGCCAAGGGCAGCCGTGGCAGCTCTGCAGGAGACAGCAAGCCCACGGCCTCAGCGAAGGGCCCAGATGGAGTGGTTCTGTACGAGCTGCACAGCAGACCGGAGCAGGAGAAATTCAACGAGTCTGCCAAGGTAAAGTGGAAAGGGAAGCGGAGTCGAGTGTCTGGGATGAGTGCACTCGACAAATGCGCAAACGAGCCTGATGTGTTTTTCTGTTTTCATTCTCATGAGAGGAATGTCAGAATATTTGATAGCAAATAAGGGAGACAAATCACAGAAGTGTGTGTGTGTGCGTGGATGTTTGTTTGTGTGTCTTGTGGGATCTGTTTCACCACCATGTGTTGCCTTGTTGTGTCCCTGTAGATGGCGGAACTGGAGAAGCGTCTAGCTGAGCTGGAAATGGCTGTTGGCTCAGGATCAGACAAGCAGGTACACACAGTCTTTGCACACACACCTCGCTTTCATTCACACTGATTCTGTTAATCTCCTCCTCTCTTTCACACTCACACCAGTCGAATTTCCATGCTCCTGTTACCGTGTAACCATCCACTTAATGTCACTGAAATACAATCTCCCATTTGATTTATGTAAATGTTAAAGGTGGTTTAATTCATTCCTTTTATAATTGATATTCCCTCTTTGTGTTTATGTTGCAGGGACCTCTGAGTGCTGGCGTACAAGGAGGCAGTTTGATGGTAAGACGGCAGCTCCTTTTTTTGTGGCTGTATTCATAACTCTGTGCATCTGATGTGCAGCCAGAGAACTGGGTCATACTTCAAAGATGAGTGACATCAGTTCCTCAAAGTTTGTTGATGTTGCTGTGCCAGCAGTGAGAACACAAAGTTTTGTTCCTAACTTTCTAAATAAACCGTGAACGTGTGCACTTTTTTGATCAGGACACCATAGAGCTGCTGCAGGCGAGGGTCAGCGCTCTGGACTCTGCTACTCTGGATCAAGTGGAGGCCAGACTGCAGGTAACTAATCCACCACAGCACGAGTAGAGTGGATTATAGTCAAGTCAGTTGCATTGTGTTTTCTACCAAACCAAAATAACTGTTTTTTTGCTTTCTTACGGTGGGGTAAAAGGATGAACTCGAGGTGTTATTTGTGTTCAGTACAGTCGAGATGGGCCAACCAGGTGCAACAGCTGGCCCTGCAATTCTAACGGGCCGTCTCCACGGCAGCGTTAAAAAAATCTTGGAGGTGGGCGTATCTGAAGCTTGGGGATTTTTTTGCGATCAACCAATCACATGAATCTCCCGCCCGCGACATACGAAGCCAAAAAGCCCGAAGTAAACTGGATATAAACTCCCCAAAACAGGCGAAAACATACCACTGTCTCTGCCACCTCCCTCCATGCCTGGCTCCTCCGGTTTATATCCCGGTAGGTCTGGTCATAAAGCACCGGGTGATTGATTCGCTACCGCTAATTTCTCCTCCATGTTTTGGAATATGAGGAAATGATCTGCGGTATGTCTCTCCCAGCATACACGCCGTTTGATTGGCTAGAGCTTGAACTGTCAGATTTGCGTACACGGGATTTGATTGGCTGACGCTTCCTCCTCAGCTTCAAAAGTTGAACATTGTTCAACTTTGGATCTTGAAAATCCTGAGAATCTCCGCTCGCCTGCCCACAATGCATTTCGGCGAAAGCGAAAAAAAGTGACGTCACCCCATTCAAAGTGAATGGGCAGAAGCGTTTCAAGATTTTTTAACGCTGCCGTGGAGACGGCCCGTGAGGCTTATTGAAAGCTTATATCGGATTGCATTTTGTCCATCTAAGAATTGTTCAAATCTAAAAACAAAGACAGATACCAGCCTTTTCTCTGACTTGTGTTACCTACTGCATCCTGCCAGCTAAAATGAATCAAGAGGTTGACAAGAAAGTATTTTATTAATATATAACAGCTATGAAGGTGCTGTTCTTTTTCAATCACCCCCACACCCTGGAGAGTTATTGAAACTTGATAAGAAAGTGAGCACTGCATTTGCTTTGTGGTGTTAAACTTTTGAAAATGTACTTTCTAAACTTTTAAATTATGCCATATTTCTATAACGTCGGGTTACCTGTGGCTCCTTCTGGAGAAACTGTCAATTTGTCACAGTATTGGCATTAATCATATAAATGTCTTTTTTTTTTTCTTCCTGTAATGTACCAGCATGCCTCTAAAACAATACCTCTCGATCAAAATGAATGAATTACTTTTTGTCCCCCTCCCATTCAGAGTGTCCTCGGGAAGATGAATGAGATCGCTAAACACAAGGCTGCCATTGAAGACGCTGAGACACAAAACAAGGTTTGTAATCCCTGCTCATCCATCACTGCAAACTAAGTGCAGTAATTATCTCAGATGCTTTCACACAATTTACAAAGCAATTAACCCTGCTGCAAGGTGCCTAAAATCAAAACAAGCTTTTATCAGAAATGTATAATATAGTAGTAATCCAGACAGCTCAGCCTTAGTGACAATCATTTTATAAGGAATTGTCAGTGCCTGTCAGACGTACTCAAAAGTAGCATTGAGTTGTAGAGCAGTGAAGCATTGCATTACATTACATTGCATGAAGCAGTCAGCGCTAAACCAGTCTTATCACCAGACAGTCCTTTTGATAGTTTGTTCATTTTCAGTCAGTAATGAAATAAACTTTTTTCCAGGTTTTCATGAGAATCTGCTGTGAGATCAGTATGAATTCCAGGCAACGTGTGCATCTTGTTAGTAAATGTTCTCGAGTGCTGTACACACTAAGGCCAGTAGAGGGCAGGGCATGTTAGTTATATCATCACAGTGAATAACAAAATCATTCACAGTGGTTTCTTCTTGATACTTTAGGTTATTTCACGTTGCTATCATTTATTGTGATTTTGTAAATATGATGTGTGACTTAATTACTTGACATTATGTATTTGAAGTCATTAGACCCACAATTGCCAGACCATACAAAACAGCTGGAATTGGAAAAGGGACATTTTCAAGCAGTGTGAGGAACACGGATATTCCTATTATTTACTAGCACAGCATTTTAAAGTCAAGTTTGCTAATTCTTATTATACAAATAAATAAGGTATCACTTATAGTACAATAGTTATAGCATCAGGACACAGATCAAACCTGTGACCATGGATGAAATAAGACTTGCTATTGTTGCTGGCCGGTTTCGTCTTTATATTAAACGTGTCTGTATGTGTTTACCTGGCAGGTGTCGCAGCTTTACGACGTGGTGCAGAAGTGGGACGCCATGTCCACCTCCGTCCCTCAGGTGGTGCAGAGGCTGGTCGCTGTCAAGGAGCTGCATGAGCAAGGTAACACAGAACCAACAAGGTGTTAGCCCTAAGACTTGCTTTGTGTTCTAGCATTATCCTCTAGATAGATGCTACTATTTGTTGAAGTTTACCCCATAATATTATATGAATGCACTGGTTTTGAGAAATTGGATCATATTGCCAATAATGTAACAATGTTGCTAGGGGCAGACCTCACCCCAGTAAGGATCATAACAATGGAAACTTTGATAATGTATCTTCTATTCTTTTACGTGAGGGTAAGAGAACCTTGGAATGACACCCATGAGAGTTCAAGGAGAGGATGTATGTAGGTTAGTGGGGGGTGGGGAATGGCATTAAAGATTCAAAATATGTAGGGTGTAGCTACAGAACATAACAGGCTGTGAACCCGATCACATTTCAGGCAGCATCTGTGCCGGGAAGTAGTACTCAGCCGGGAAGATTTGCATTTGCAATGGTGAGCGTCTGAGTGCGAGACAAAAGATGAAAACTAAGCGAGAATTGGGTTTCAAACGGATAATGGAATTAGCCTAAACCATGGCATTATATTATAACAAAGGGAAAAACTCGAAGGGAGCCTCAAAATGGTAATAGAATTAGACTAAATCTAGTAATACTGTTAAACACCCCCTCAGGGAGAAAGAGATGCATGATATTATATATCACATTATCATCTTTTTATTATTTATCACATGAAAGCAGAACCTTGGCATTAATAGATTATATTGATAATTCCTTTCTGAGCTGAAAGAGGTCATTTATCATCCCGACTCATCGCACCAATCTGTCACAGGCTGCAGCAAAAGGGTTTTTAACTCGAGCAGCACTGATTTTTATTTTTCTCTTATTTTTCTTTCCGGTCCCCTTTTTACAGAAGAAGGGGGGGAAACTAAAATAATCTTTTAAGCAATCAGCTTCATGTTACATTTGTCTTGACTCCCCTTCATTGTGGCTGAAAGCAAAGGCAACATTGCAAGTTTTTTAACCACACATTTGTAAATCTTCTTTCTCCCTTTCTCTTCACTCTTGCCTCATGATTCATGATTCTCCCCCCCTCCTCCTCCTCCCCCACCGTCTCGTAGCTATGCAGTTTGGCCAGCTGCTGACCCACCTGGACACCACTCAGCAGATGATCAACAACTCTCTGAAGGACAATAACACTCTGCTAACACAGGTAACACGTTCAGGTTCCTTTAAACCTTTCGGGACAAACATTAATCTATTTAGTGCGGACCTTTACTTTAGCAGAGTTTAATGTTCACGTCGTGCTACAACAATAGGACGATTGAAATGAACAAGGCCAGTAGAAATGCATGCTTGTCTCACTGGGGGCACAAACAATCTCTTTGTCTTCAATTGCTCTCATATTACAGCAACAAATCTCATTCCATAGTCAAACAAATAACCAGTATCTTCAGAGGTAGAAAGATAAGTAGCTTGTCTACTGAAGCTGTTACACAATAGAAAAGGTTGGATTATTACAAATAAATGAACACGTGTCCTCCAATGAAACTTAGTGTTATAAGAGGCAGCTTTTCATAGCCAAGAGGAATAATCTAACAAAGGAGACCTCTCTAAAGCCTCAGTCAATTTCTTTGCTGAAACTTACAATCGTCTGTAGTCAGAAGATGTATGGTCTCTCTTTTCACTGCATTGTATTCTGATGGGAAACATCCTTTGGCTTCCATCATTGACATGGTTTCACAGAAAACATCATTTCTTTTGTAAGAAGCAGTGTTTTTCTGTAGCCTCCTGGAACCTCAATTGCTCTATGAAGATCTTAAACTTCACTCTCTTTGCCCCCTTCCCCCCCCCCCCAGGTTCAACAGACAATGAAGGAGAATCTGGGGGCTGTAGAAGAGAACTTTTCTGCACTAGATGAGAGGATGAAGAAGCTCTCCAAATAAATGGCGGCATGGTTCAGACCAGTCCAGGAGAAGAGTGTAGAACATGGACAAATATGAGCTGGCTGCAGAGCACCGAGGGGGATTCAACTCTCCGGCCATCCCTCTCATGCTCTCTACTTTGCCTTTTTTTCACTGAGAGGAATGTTGGAAAAGATGGAATAACAAAAAAAAAAAAAGGAGACCAAATGTTCGTGTCCACCCTCCTTCTTCTTCCTTTCATCAAATTGATATAAAATGAAAACACATCTGTCCACTCTATACATGCCACTGATTGCAGTCCCCTGTTTAGCTTATTGAGTTTTAGGGTTGTTTTTATAATTATTAGTATTAAACTTAAGAAATTTCTCTATTCCTTTCAAAACGTCTCACCCTATTGCCGAATTGTACTTTAAACTTTGCTCAAATTAAATAGATCACAGTTTTGGTGGGTTGATGGATGACACTTGTAAGGTGTTTCGAACTGTATAGAAAGTGTGGTAGCTGGAGCGCCTTTGTGCGAGGGTCAGGGCCAAGTCAGGGAAGGACAGCTTGTAAATATGCCTGTGTACCTTATTGTTTCTTCACACTCAGTCGCTTGTAACTATATTATTATGACTGAGACCAGACACCACGGACAAACTTTGAATCTGCTTTGTCATTGCCTACAAGTCAACTGTATTGTACATCTGTGGTCATGGAAACGGATCAATAAATAAAACTAAGTGCGATAAGCTCGACTCCCTTTTTATGATATAATGAGAAGAACACTTCAATGATTAATCTTTTAACAGCTGGCGACTTTATACCTGCTTTGGTTGGATGGACAAAAGTATCTTTATTAATATACTCTATTAAGTTTCTTTTTAACAGAGCATGTGGACTTGTCTTGTCCGACGCCTGAACAGAAATATCGGATGAATTCATAGGCTGATGCAATGTTACCGTACTGATGTATGAAAACACGTTCTGCTAGTAATGAGTCATCAGCTGTTGGTACGACGAGGCCATGACACTTAATCATGTAACCACCTTTTTAAAGAGTGACACATTTGAAATCCCCATCTTCATTTAATTCCAATCTGGTTGTAATGCAAATAATTCAGAAAAACATCCTCCCTTTTGTTTAGCTCTTATATATAAGGAATTGTTGTGTTCATTTATGAACACTGGGTGGCAGCATAGCATTTAATAAAAGAAAGGTAAATCCCGCTGAACACTGTTATTCAGCTTGAAAACATATGCCAAATGGACTCAAACGAGGTTAATGCTATACACTAACATACAATGTTTCGCTGCCATAAAACGTCCTCTTAATAAATAAATCTAATAAACACCTAAAATGTTAAGTCAATGCTATTTGTATTCACATTGGTAATTGATAACTTAACATTCTTGACCACCTGGATTTTTTTGTTTAAATAAAACGTCCAATAATGGAAAGAGTACATTTATCTTTCAAGTATCAGAAAACGTGAGATGGCCAAGAGCTTTAGGGGCCAACCATGTAAGGCAACATCCCCGGAACATGTCCAGACAGGAACCTTTATTGCCTGTCTATATCCATCTCTCTACTCTCTCTAGTCTCTACTGCCAAATATCTAATAAAGGCATTTTAAAACAAGTCCCAATTACACATTTTTATGAAACGGTATTTAAAATATAATGAGATCAGTTTTCTAAAAGGCAAACACTTAAACAAAACCTGACCATGACAGACCTACAGCAACATAGATGATGAAGCATTCAGTCCAGAAATATGAAATTGATGGTTTTAAATGCATCAGCACTAGTGATACTTAATTCACACAGTACATTACCAGGAGGCAATCAGTGAATATCTTTTAGCTGAACCTCAAGACCATCTGGCATTATAAGCTTTACAAAACACATTCAAACCTAAAGCTGTCTCATGCTTGATGTCAGGTGACAGTATTAGAGACAAAGGCACAGACAGGTGCTGTACAGTAGGGCAAGGATCAGGTGTTTCTGCTGAGTCATCAATACGCAGCAGCTCATGTGAGTTAAGTAACTGCCGTTACAAGCCGCTACACGTGGAGTACGTTTACAGAGCTGCCAAAAGAGACATGTCATTTTTAGAGGTTAGTTTCATGATAACATCCTCCTATAAAATCCTCCTCTTCTTGATAAGCCTTTTTAACATGCATGCTCCTGAATGTGGATCTAAATCAGACACAACATATGATCAAAATGTGTTACCGCCTGTGTATTTCTTCTTTAGCTGAGTGTTGTAGCTACTTGTATCACATCTTTTTTTTAGAATCAGAGGAGGATTAAGTGCTGAGTAGCTTACTGATTCCTCTAATGGAGAAGAGTTCAATACTGTGCTGCTCGGACAGGACATATCAAGTGTGACTTGCAGGGAACCAGATCCAGAGCTCCAACTTAGAAGGGAATGCCCCAGATGAGCACAGAGACATACCATGAACTGTATATCGTGTTATACTACATTTGTCCTTCTATTTTGGGTGAGCTAGATCGGGTCAGCCCCATCTGTTAAGACCCAATTACAAACTGAAGACCATCAAGAGGTCAGCCCAAAGTGCTATTACTGTATTACAATTATAATTGAGACCATTAGCGCTCTGTGTGGTCCAAAACACAAACAAGGCTAAAGGAAGTAATGCATTGAATTAAATAATAACCTCGATTAAAAAACTGGGGTTTTATCAGTGGGGTATAAATCCAAACAACAATTCTTAGAGAGCTTTTCTTAACATTTAAGCTCCAGGAATTTTTCAGTCAATCGCACCTTCTCAAAGTCCACAGCACCCTTTACTCCACTGGACAAAGTAAATATGTAAGACCTGAGGCAGCAGAGTGCAGCTGAACACAGAGGAGGCTGTAGGGAGCCACAATTGCTCCAAAATCTGTTTCTGGTGCTAAAATTGTGAAAACCAAGAGAAGAGGAAGAGAAGGATGGAGTAAGAGCCCGGCGTGTGCCTCGCTGCCCACCTGTTCAAACAGGCTTTAAAGTTTAATCACCCATGGTCTCTGCTTGGGCTTGTGATTTTTCCCTTTTTCTTATGTCTTATTTTGTACACATAGGGTGATGCCAAGAAACAAAGAACTGTTAATAGTTTAGATATTGACAATAGCACATTGCTATTCATGTCTGTACTTTCCTGAATTTATTACAATGTCCTATAGTGGAGTATTTAACAACATTTTAATGTATTACTTTTACTGTACAGTTAATATTCCCTTTGTTAATTTCACACACACGTATAATAACCATTTAAAAAATAAAATGGCAGGAAAAGTAGAAAAGGAAGAAACAATTTAATCAGATAATAAGCTGCGGAGAAGAGAAAGGAAATCACACAAGGGCTACTGGACATTTGTCACATTTTCCTGAATGGGTGCGGACAGGTGAGCGTCTGTGGTGAGGCAGAGAGGAGGACAGAAGAAGTGGGCGGAGGTAGAGTAAAAGGATGGATACAGTTGTGGGGCAGATTGGGAGGCGTGTAGCGAATGAGAAAAAGAGAAGACATGTAAAAGAGGTGCAGACATAAACAGGGTTTTAAAGGACTAACAAGATTTGCTGCAAAGTCGCCCTTGAGCTCCAAACACCGAAATCTCAACAAGTGGATGTGACATTTAGCTGTTAAATCTAGACGAGCCAATATGGGATGGAGTGGATATATTAAAACCCCCGGAAAAAAAAATTAAATAGTCGTTTTCTGCTTTACTTGTGTGCTGGACATCTCACTTGTACAGGAGGATGATAGATGGAGGGTCTCCTGAGAAAATAAAATGCATATCAGTTGATTGATGGGCATCATCAAGACAATAGGGAAGTGTAATATTGGCTTCATCTGAGATGGAAATTGGCAGAGGAGATTAATTTAGTAAAAATGTGAATGTAAAGATGAAAGAAAAAGCACCGCAAGTAATAACTGTTGGCAAATAATGTAATGTATGTTGTCTGAGAATCTCCCTAATTTATCACTTCAAATGACATGTCATTCCACACAAACAACACACATTTTTTCCCAGTTTTCACTAATAGAGAGGTTCTGGGGAAAATAGATAAAACAGACAAAAGGGTGAGCCAACAGAGAGGGAGAAAGGGGATTTACTGTATCACCACTACTTGTTAACAGCTGTATCAGTTGGTCTCAGTTCAGAAAGGGGAAGGATTCCGACAGCTGGTGTGTGTGTGTGTGTGTGTGTGTGTGTGTGTGTGTGTGTGTGTGTGTGTGTGTGTGTGTGTGTGTGTGTGTGTGTGTGTGTGTGTGTGTGTGTGTGTGTGTGTGTGTGTGTGTGTGTGTGTGTGTGTGTGTGTGTGTGTGTGTGTGTGTGAGTGAGAGGGGGAACTGGGTGTGGAGCCTTGACCAAGGGCAGAGGACAGAGAGAGGGAGTGTGGTGGCTGGAAATTCCCCAGACTCTTTCTGTCTTTAAAACAAAAGAAATAATGTCCAAAATGTAATTTTAAGAAAATATCAACAACCTCCGCTGTCTCAGTGTTTTTTCCTCATCGATTGTTGTCAAAATGTCAAACACCAGCATTTGTGAGAAATAAATGTGGCGGCAAGACAAAGAGCGAGCAGAAAAGAAAAGATCCTAAATCTACACAAGACCATTTTAAGACTTTAATTCTAATTATCATTGTGAATGTTGATTGGTTCACTTGTGTTGATACTAAATGTATATCATAAGTTAAAGTCTGATACAGTTATATTTGCATAACTGGACTGGCTTGTTTTCTTGGTTGTTTACACATGTGTGAATTAATTAATGACAGGTGTGTAGACATTGTGTACCCTCAAAGAAATATCTAAAAAACAAATGATTATCTTCAGTTATTTTTGATTAGGCGGACAAAAGGGAATTTGGCAAGGGGTACAGAAGGTAAAACATTATAGAAACAGCATAGCAACTGATATTTCTAAATATAACCATCAGTAATGTCTAAGTCTCATCTAAAATCTGATCCACAGGAGCAGACAGTTCTCAGTTAAGGTTGCTTGTTTACACCCAGTGTCATACAAGGATAACATAAAGAGGATAAACAATATATTATACATTTATATCATATTGTTTGTTTATTTTAGTTTGTGTTGTTTTTTATTATATTTGGGTATCAATTGAGAATCAATGAGAAAAAACAGGGAATGTCATCGTCACACTAATGAACAAAGCAGAAAAAGTGCAACCTAAATGTGGGGTTGTAAACAATGTTTTCTAATGAATACAACACAGACGATGGGACTGACAAAACAAACAGACGGCAGGGTGGAGGGGGGGGGGGGGGGGTAGAGAAAGTGTGCTGAACTACTCAGCAACAGCCACTCAAGTCGTGACGTGTTCACGGTGCTTCCTGCAGCGCTTTAACCCGGGTCCTAGAGACAGTATTTGAGCTTTCTATTCGCTACTTGGCGCTGTTGCTATGGGGCTGTGCATGTTGAGCCGTGCACGTTGCGCCGTGCATGAAAAACAGTTTGTGTGTGCTGAGTTTGGATTAAGGGCAGAAAGTGTTAGGAGCGGGGTGACGAGCCCGCATCACCAGTGCAACATGATGAAACGTGCTTTTATTTTGGTGTCACTGTTTTGTTGTTGTTGATGATGTCGCTCTTGTTTACCTTATTACTGTTCACCATCCAATACTGTAAATAAAACGTTTACTGTCTGGCTTGTGGTGTGTCTGGGATGGTGACCTTGTTGAACTTTATGGGTTTAATGGCAAATATGTTATCACTTTACGTGTTTT